ATCTGCGAGCAAATGAACCATCCCCAGAGTGCACCCAAATGCTTTTTGATGGAGCTGCAAAAGCTGGTGATAGCCTAGCATACTCAGCCGGATGGTGAACATCTACATGCTCGTGCAAGTTAATCATGTTTGAGTATGTAGAGAGTTGAAAATAGCTTTCTAGTAAACTCTGGTATCAGAAATACAAACGTCACTAATGTCACATAACTTTGCCGACATGTGGCCAACAGTAATGTTTTAATGTTCTTCGTTATTAAACATTTGCACATAAATAAGTGACGTAATATTCAGTACTTAAAGTGTACTCTTCGGCCGCCCCTCATCCGCCGTTTCTTTCTGCAAATTTATCCACACCCATCGCCGCGCTATGCATTCTGGGATATGTTGGGCCACGAAGTCTACACTGCCACAGCCTTAAAATTCAGGGAAATGAAGGACGCATTTCAGGGCCGCATTTCGAGCAGCCTTTGAATTGGGACAGCCTTTGGCGCGCCGCTGTGACGTAAATGGCCTTAAAGTCCGTACTTTAAGGCTGCAGACCCTGAATTGGGAGACAGCCTGAGTGTGTGTGGGGAAGCTAATCTGACCTGTGAGAGACTTCTGGACTGTGAACTCTTAATGTATTATGCACTCTGATAAATGGGCTTCATACTATGTTTTACTCTTCTGGTTGATCTTGTGGTTACAAGAACAAGTTTGTGGTTTAATACAAAGACATTTATAGAGTGTTATAAGGAAACTGTTTGATCAATGTTCACTGCACAGTAGTAGTGAACGCTGTTAAAGGAGCATTGCACTCTATATAGTTGTAGGTTGTATAAGAACAGTAAATATGTTTGTTTTATGTCAAAGACATTATTTTCTTGTAAAGAGTAAAACAGCGATATTTAAAACAACAGAAGTTACATTGTCAGTACAGTGGAATTTCACATGAATAATTTAGTGCTGAACAAGAATTAAAATGTTTAAAAATGAGTTAATTTTATGATGTTTGTAAATGTAGTTAAAAATGAAGTACAGAGCACACTATTGTGTTTTGTTTATCTTTGTGAAATAAGTGTGGTTATTGTGATACATTGTGGATCTGACATATCAACATTTTGTTTATGTTTTGTCAAAGTTGTATTGAGAGATTTATACAGTCTCGAGCTCAGGGAGCTGTGGCCATGTATCGTAAACTGGACTGAAGCATAAGGCCATTTCTTTGCAGTTAGTGTGGTGATACCTGAAGCTGTTCTAAGCTGTTGTGAAGAATAAACCTTCCTGTTGTGAAACTGACATCAGCTCAACGTGTGTCCCTTTTTCTATTCTTTATCACAGCGCCACACGTTGTTGAACAGGAAACCAGTTGCCCCTTTGGTCATCATCTTAGGGAGGCAACAAGTACTTTGCTCAAACTATACATCTGCACAAGCAGCACACCACCTTGGTCACATTCTGTATGTATGGAGGCGCCCGGGATGGAAAAGATAAAGCTGCTGTTAACAGCAT